TTTTTTTATTTACACTATTGGTCCCTCACTTCGGTGCTCCAGGTTCCTGATCTAAAGTTAGAGGGTTGGAATCGAACCCCAAACTTTTAACTCCATCAACTACTCATTTTGTGTTACGAACTTAGGTTTAAAATATTTGAGAGCACCCTCTAAATCAAGCGGGTGCACCTTCAAGACGCCTACATTTTTTCCCTTTACGGTAATCAAGTGAGCTGATGCACGGGACCCTGCTTGGTCCTTAGTAGGTCTGCCCCTGGTCACAACTGCCACCGTCACCCCTACCCGACCCACCCCCACTCACAACCACCCCATCCCGCGCCCCTACTCTGCCACCATGCCACTGCTGTCGTCTTCACAGCAACCATCACCAATCACCATGCCACTACTATCATTGTCACAACCAACACCCGATCCACCCCTGCCACCACACACCCTATGGGTGGTGGGTGCGATGGGGCGTAGGGTCGGGTGTGGGGCATGGGGGTCCCTCTGGCCACCACCCACGTGGGTGGTGGGGGCCCAGGGGTGTCATTGGCGGGGTGTCGGGGCGACTGCCACCCTTACCACCGTGCCCAATACTGTCCTCATCATAGCTACCAACCCCACCCCCACCCCAAAAAAAAAAACAGAGATAGAGATTCCAATTCTTTTGAGAGATTTTATTCCAATTTCTACCAATCAAACGCGTGGTCAAATTCCATTCTAATTCCTTCAAAGTGAAATTCCTGTGGAGATTCCAATTCCACCAAATTCCATTATGTGAACCAAAATCCCCCAAGTTTATAGGACCAAAAACTGTGTGTCCTATTTAAAGGCATTACAATAAGTTGTTAGGATGAAGCTGAACAATCTAATGAGTTTTGAAGTAGGGCAACCTAATAGGACACAAAAAGTAAGTTGTCCTGTTAGCCTTTTTTTTTTCTTTGTAGTGTCCCCATGTATAAATAGGTTAACAAGACACTTATAAAAAGTTTCCTATATGGATGATTGCGTTTCGTTGTGTAGACACTGTTTCTTTAATTACTTGCAGGAGATAAACTTGTAGGGGAGGTTAGTAGGCTGGTAGTTGCTGAAGCTTGCATACAAGCATTGGACATAGATTTCACTCAAGGCCAAATATACGAAATCAACTCGGTACAGGTGAGCATTCTAACATTTTCACATATTTGGAGATTACGATATTAATTCTTCATACAGACATCTACATTGCAACAATTGTCGTGTTTTGATTTGAGTTGAATTTCTTACAAGCATCATAAATTAAAACTGAGTTTTACATGTGCTGTTATGGTGCAGGGTGATGGACCAGGAAGTGACACAAAAAAATGGCAAGAATTGTTTAAAGCTGCTCAACTCCAATAAGATATGTGTACATGCATGTAGTCTATCAACTTGTGCCATCATGTTATTAAGTTTCAAAATTGTATTTAACCATATGTAAATTGGTACATGTTATAAAAACAAGATATGAATATCTGTAACTATTGTACTTGACTTTAGCTTTCAAAAATACCATTATAGTTGCTGGAAATCTATAAGGAGAAATGTTCTCATCGTAGTCAGGCTATGTTTGGCAAATTAGTTGTTAGCTGATAAATAAATCACATTTGGGAAAAACTAGCTGATAAGCTAGATGAAAAATGTAAAACGACCAAAAAGGACTTCTTGAAATATTAATCAAATACAACAATTCTTAATATAATTAAATCAAATTTAATAATATAATTTGTTAATTAATACAACAAGATAGTAAAAAAAATTAAATAATATAATATGTTAATTAAAAAAATGAAATTGATTATATATTTGTATATTATAAATTTAGGAATCGTTAAAACAAATTTTAGAAAATGTTCACGATAATTTATAATTTTAAATGATCATCACGTATAATTTAAATAAAGATAAAATTGGTCAACTTTACATATCCTAATTAATTATTGATTTTAAAAAATTATACTTAATAATTAAATTAAA